CCCCCCCCCCCCCGGCCCCGAAGGTAGATTCCAGTCCCCACCCCCTGTCTCCTCTATCCTACTGGTCTCCCTGTGGTCCCCTCCTCTCTAATTCCCCACATTCCCTGCACCACTTCGGGCAGGGCCGGAAGGAGGTAGAGAGGGGGCGCTCCCTTAACACAGCAGCCCCAGCACAGGCGGATTCTTCTAGAGACGACGTCTCAGCTCCCGGCCTGCCCCTAGTTTTCTTTTTCCCTCTGGCCCTGGGCTCCTCTCTGACCTTCAGCAGGTCAGCCCCGCCTCCAGGTTCCTGCAGAGGCATCCCCTGTGGCACCTTGGGAGGCCACCCCAGGACCCCTCCTCTGCCCCTGTCCTGACCTCTGGCTGTGCAAAGCTCCAGCCCCGGTGGAGGTGGAATGCAGCTCCTGGCCTCCTTGGCTCAGCTTCCCAGCCCCGCCGAGTCCAGCATGCTGCCACCTTCCTCCACCTGACCCGAGGCCCTTGGGGCCACCCTGGGCTGCCGGGGGTCACACATGCAGGCCCTTGGTCCCAAGGGCCTGGGGAGGGGCATCCGTTGCTGCGGCCTGACCCGAGGCCCCCTGCTCCCCAGCTGGAGCCTATAGGGTAGGGTCTCCAGCCTAGATAGCCCCCTATTAGTCTCGAACTTATTTTTTGTTTGTTTGTTTTTCCCTTTTTAGGCCATGATTTCTGGAGAGCTTGAGATTCTCAAAGACTGGTGCTATGAAGCTGTGAGTCCTTCTCTTTTTATTTCTACTTTTTATATTTAGGCCTAAAAAGAATCAGTTTGGAGGTCTGTTTGGGCAGAGCCAGGAAGGGTATGACAGGGCCCGGTGTCCGGGTTGTGGGGGCACCCAGGGGTCCGGGGCCGGGCGGAAAGGGACCAGGAATAGCTTGGGGTGTGTGTGACCTTCCCTCAGCGCTCAGGGGTCTCACGTGGTGGCCGTGGGCGCTGGCCGGCAAGCAGCCTGTGGGCCCACACCACCTCCTGTCCCTGGGCCATGTCACAGGCGTCATGAGGGTACAGTGTGAACACAGACACAGCGCTCCCGGATGCACAAAGCGCTGGCCAGACTCATTATAGCTGTTCTCACTTTGAGTTCCCGAAACACAGATCAAAACGGACGGTGATAAGATTTCCCGCATGGGGAGGAGCCGTGTGTCCTGATGAGGCCTGACTGCTCCCCAGAGGCAGTGCTCAGGGTCCCGGGGCCCCATGGTGCCAGGCCGTGCACCCAGGTCGGCTGTCCCCAGGAGCACACCCTGTCCGCCCCGGTCCTGGCAGCCTCCCCGGCCCTGCAGGACTCTGTCGGCCACCTCGACTCACCCTGCTCACTCCCTGACCTGTGTCTTCATGGGGTTTTTTCTAGCTTGTTTGTATTGAGCAATCCAGAGCCTTTTTGGCTGATCTATTCTGCTTCCAGCTCACAAACAACTTGGAGAAAGCAGAGGAGAAGATGTCAGATTTTTTTTTTTTTTTTTAATACTCCCCTGCATGGTGACTAATCCAGCAGGCATTTAGGAGCGTGTGGTTTTTTTTTTTTTTTTTTTTAATGCTTTGGGACCATTAGGCTGTGGTTGATTATCTTTGCCAAAGAGCTGCTGGGGCCCCTGGAAATGCTCCTGAAATTGCAGGCAGGCCATCACAGAGGTGCATGTGTGTATGTATGTGTGTGTTGTGTGTGTGTGTATTTATTTATTTAAATGTTTGTTTCTCTTCGAGAGAGACAGAGCGTGAGTGGGGGAGGAGCAGAGAGAGAGAGGGAGACACAGAATCCGAAGCAGGCTCCAGGCTCAGAGCTGTCAGCACAGGTATTCCCATCGCAAGTTGCCTCTAAACCCACTAAACTGTGAGATCACTGCATGGTTTTAAGTTGAAATGCTCAACCAACTGAGTCACCCAGGCGCCCCCAGAGGTGTTTCTTAGATGCCATTTTTAAGAACCACACAGGAAATAGGGTTGGCACCATTTTTTTTCTTGGTAGATCAGTTATTTCCATAAAAAGTAAGTGTTATTGGAATGTCTTCCACCATAGCTGCTGAGTCCAGAGAAGCCTCCAGTGAAAAGGTACCAGGTGTCACCTGTGTCCTGGGCCTGGGAGTAGGCTCAAGGGGGCTGGAGGTGTCATTGGGGCGTCACCGCCCCGCGGGAAAAACGGGCTGCCTGTGGCCAGCGGCCTCCCATCGGGGCTGGTCAGTGAGGAGGAGGCCGACCGAGGGAGCTCATTTCAGAGCGGCTGTGGGTTAGGGCGAATCCTAGAAAACGCGTTTGATTCCAGGCCAAGATTCTGAGTGCGGTGAATACGGGGAAGTCCAAGATCAGCCAGAGAGGCCTCAACTTCCCTCTGGGCGTGTATTTCAGATCCTGTTGCAGGAAAATTACCTACTTTACTGATTAATACCACTTTCATTTGGGCGTCTCGATGCAGCGCTGTCTTTATAACAAGGGGGGTGTGATTCGGGCCAGCAAATGGGCGGCACTGGCCTCCCTGCTTGGACCTGTGCTCCTGGCATCTGCTGCTCCTGGCAAAGCACACGCAGGCGATAGCAGCCGTTTCTGGAAGGTGCGGGTGCAGAAAGCACGGGATAGGGCGGTGAGCCTGTCTGCGGGGAGAGTTTCCCAGGACAGTGCAGCCCCTGGGGTTCGCCAGCAGGTGCACCGCAGCACCTTGGTGGGGCTTGCGCGCGCGGGTCCAGCCGCAGGGATGTGTCTGGCTTCTCTTCGCAGACCTACAGCCAGCTGGCGCACCCGATCCAGCAGGCCAAGGCGCTGGGCCTGCAGTTCCACTCCCGCATTCTGGACATCGACAACATCGACGTGAGCGGCTCTTCTTGGCGTCGGGGGGGTGCTAGTCAGAGGGGCGCCCGTCCCTGGGGGAGCTGCGGCATGGACAGACAGGGACTGGGGTGAAATGACCTCAGGGTCCCTTTCAGCAGAGGGTTCCCATAAGCCTGTGGTGGGAGAGTTCTTGGGCAGGCGGCGGACGCAGCGGGTGCTGTTGCCGCCCGGACCTCGGGGCCCCCGGAGGCAGTGCTGTCCCTCTGCCTTCACTGGGCAGGGCGAGAGCTTTGCCCCTGTGGAGAGCCGGACGAGTGCCGGTGCTGGTTACCCCTGCCCGTGTGCAGGGGTCCCTCTGTGAGGCCTTACACGCCCACCCAGCCCCCTCTGGGGAACAAGAAGCCACCAGGGTCCAGGGAGGCTGCGTGGATGGTTAGTTCAGACTCTGGCTCACATTGGGAGGGGTCCCGCGGGAACCCCCCACAGGTCCTTCTGGGGCCTGGCCCGACGAGTAGGACAAGTGGGGTGGCTGGGACTGCCTCCTGGGAAGCAAGGGTCGGCATCAGCCGTGAGGCGACTGTCAGGGGAGGGGCAAGGCCACTCTCTGAGGCCCGCCCACCTTGTCGCTCCCCCTGCAGCTGGCCATGGGCAAGATGATGGAGCAGGGGCCTGTGCTGATCATCACCTTCCAGGCCCAGCTGGTGATGGTGATCAAGAACCCCAAAGGCGAGGTGGTGGAGGGCGACCCGGTGAGTCCAGGAGGGATCGGGCCTCGCGGGTGGCCGGCGCGAGACTGGCTGATGGCCGCCTCCAGCCACCTCACGCCGACAGAGCCAGGAGGTTTTGTGACTGTGCAGCAACAGCAGGGCAGTGTCTTGAGAAGCCTGGGGCCCTGTGGGTGCTGGTGGGGGTTGGAGGGTGACTCACTCATCTGGCTGTGCAGAGGCCTGAGTTGTCGACTCTGGACCCAGGCTGACTCCCAGCTCTGCTCCCTGGTCCCTCCTGGCGTCCCCTTTGTGTTCTGCCCTGCCCCTCCCCACAGTCCCTTGTCGCGGCCCTCACCGTCCCTGCTTCTGCAGGACAAGGTGCTGCGCATGCTGTACGTGTGGGCTCTCTGTCGAGACCAGGACGAGCTCAACCCCTACGCGGCCTGGCGGCTCCTGGACATCTCAGCGTCCAGCACGGAGCAGGTCCTCTGAGCATGGTGGCCACGAGCAGAGGCTTCTGGGCTGGATCAGCGTGCGGTGGTCACACAGGACTGGTGTCTGCCTGTCACAACTAGACCTCTGGGGAAGACGGGACTGTCGGATCTCTACCAGGGCCGCTACAAGACCAGCTGGATGGGGACGGGCGGGTGGATGAGGGGGGGCGGCTCCCCATCCGGGGGGCTCCTGCACTGCTCCCACGCCCCTCCGCCAGCAGCCGGGGTCAATATGGTGCACCGGCCGGATGGTGCCAAGAGGCCACCCCCCTGGCCCAGGGACGATCCACGGGGCAGGACGGCAGGCCTAGGACCTGCTGCTCAGAGTAGCATATGAGCCGCTTCAGCCCGGCCATTTTGGCTCCGTTTTTTAACAGTGCCCTTATTATCCTGTATATATGCCTGAGATTTGGAAATAATAATAAAACGCCAAAGTGCAGGACAGCAACTCGGGTGGTCTGAGGTGTTTGTCACTGGGGTAGGGGGCAGCTGGGACCGAGGATGGGTGGTGGGAGCTGGCCGGGTGGTCACAGGAG